GGCAGCAACCCCGGAGAAGCCGCCCTCATCCTCACCCGGTAGCACCTGCCTGGGGACCCCTGTGCCCCATTTGCTTTTAGCCTGCCCGGGACAGGGGGATGTCTCTGGGCTGGGAGATCCGGCCTGCCCCACACAGGCCCCGCTCAGGGCTGGGAGGGAGACGTGGCTCTGTTCTCCTTTTGGTGACCAGGGAAGCCGGCCTCAGGCACTGAGTCCTCTGGCAGGCAGGCTGGACAAACAGAGGGTCAGGTGGAGCCATGGAGGCCACACCCCCACTGCAGGAGCCCCCTCAACCAGTGTGAGAGAACGAGTCCAGCCCACTCCACAGACAGGAAGACCGAGGCTCACAGGGGCCCGGGACTGCCTCAGAAGCACCCCCTCAGAGCCCCAGCCCCACAGGGACGGCTCACCTGCTCAGCTCCCAGGACAGCCCAGGAGGGGCAGAGGGGACCTGGAAAGCCACCCCGGCGCTGGCTCCCCAACATCTCCTCCGTGGAGACTGCAACAAGAACTGTCAGGGCAGGAGGGGGCTGCAGGCGCTGGGGCCATAAATCAGGGCTCCTGGCAGCCCCCGGGCTTAGAGGAATCCCAGGCCCCTCCTCGTTTCCTCTCAACCAGACGGGCCTGCAGCTCAGCTCCCTCCGGTTAGCGGATCCAGAGCGGATCATGGAGAGGTCCCCCAAACCAGCCCTCTCTCCCCTCTCCTCTCAGAGCCATCCCAGCGACAGGGAGGACACCGAGGCCAGGAAGGGGGGCCCATCCAGAATCCCCCAGCTCCCAGGCACAGAGTTGGACACACACCCAGGGCCACCCCCCCAGCGGTGCAGCTACTCTGAGCCCAGAGCCTCCACAGCACCGCCAGCCTGTCCCGGCATCACCCCAGGCCCCCAAGTCTCCTGGCAGCCTCCACAGCACCGCCGGCCTGCCCCTGCATCACCCCAGGCCCCCCAGCAGCCTCCATAGCACCGTGGCCTTCTGAGCACCTGTCAGATGCCAGCGGAGGAGGTGCTCCCAGCCTGGCCACTGCAGCCCCTCGCCAGCCACCAGCCCAGGCAGGGAGCTCCTGTGAAGAAGTGGATGCCTGTCCTGGGTGGGTCCTGCCCCATCCAGTGCGCAGCCAACTTCTCCTCCATACCCCCAGCGCAGGTGCTCAGGACCCGCCAGAGGGGCCACTGAGGTGGGCAGGACACAGGGCCATGGGCCACCCACAGGAAGATCGCAGCCCCGCTAGTGATGGGCACCTGTGTACAGGCAGAGAGGGCAGCACACGGACCAGCAGGACAGGCCTGCAACAGGACGCAGAGAGGCTGCACAGGGGGCACACGCGTGTGTCCAGTGTGTGCAGGTGTGTTCTGTGTGTGCACGTGTGTGTCCTGTGTGTGCACCTGTGTCCTGTGTACAAATGTGTACACAGGTGTGCTTGTGTGTGCACGCATGTGTCGAGTGTGCACACGTGTGTATGTGTGCATGGGTGTCCTGTGTGTGTGTGCATGTGTGCATGGGTAGGCATGTGTCCTATTTGTGTACACATGTCTTATGTTTTTACATGTGTGCATGGGTGTGCATGTGTCCTGTGTGCACACGTTTCCTGTGTGCAAATGTGTGCATGGATGTGTCTTGTGTGTGCACGCATGTCCTGAGTGGGCCCATGCATGCATGGGTGTGACCTGTGTGTGCACGGGTGTGTCATGTGTGCACGTGTCCTGGGTGTGCACATGTGTCCTGTGTTCATGCATGTATATGTGTGTGCACATGTGTGCATGGGTGTCCTGTGTTTGCACACATGTGTCCTGGGTGTGCACCTGTGTCCTGGGTGTGCACATGTGTCATGTGTGTTCATATGTGTGCACACATGTTCATGGTGACCTGTGTTTGCACATGTGTGTCCTGTGTGCATACATGTGCACAGTGTGCATCCGACTGGGGGCACCTGTGGGTTTCATCCCCTGCCTCCGCCTGCCCTGGGTACACACGCGCCCAAAGCCTCTGCTCACCTGAGGCCCAGCAGCCCTATTGGGTGTCATCCTCTTACTCCCAGGCCAGCCCCCACCTCTGCAGCCGCCCACCAGGGTCTCAGCCCGTGGGAGGTTCCAGCCGACAAGTTTCAGGAGCCACACGTGGCCTGGATGGGGCTCAGGGCTGGACCCCTGGCCTCACCCTATCAGGTGCCCCCGCCTGCTCTTTGACACGGGGAGGGCACGCAGGTGGGGGGCACAGCACGGCGAGTGCCCAGGATTCCAGGTGGCGGGGAAGGATGCAGGGGCAGAACGCTGACCCCCATCAGCAGCCACCAGGACGGCGTCCTCAGCCCAGGTCCCAGGCCCACACTGCACAGCACTCCAGCCGCCTGCCCAGCCCACATGGGTCCCAGACTTGCTGCTGGGTTCTGGAATCATCTTGGGAAAGGCAGGCAGAGGCTGGCGGAGAGTGGGGTGATTCCTGCCTTCCTGGGAATGGGGACAGCCTCATGGGAGACCCGGAGATGGATTTTCCCCAATTTACCCGTCTCCCCAGTCCCTCCCAGCAAGGCTTCCGGGGTGTGGGCTGCTCTGGGACTCCCCAGCCCCAGCTTCTCCTTGCCCTCCTACAGGGTCCCCTGAGAGTTACTAAACAGAGGGGCAAGGCGTGGCCCCCCAGTGCCCCGAAAGGGAGCTCGCCCTGCAGCCCCAACGCGGCATCAGGTGCTGGGATGAGAAGCCGCTGCTGGAGGCTTGGTGGCTCCCCCAGTGCGCACTCCAAGGCACCACCCGTGTCTCACGCCTGCCATCGGGAGTCTCCTTTCAAAGTAGACTCGAAGCTGATGGTGACTTGGAAGAATATCAAGTGGGTAGCAGCACAGTGGCCTGACGTCCTACAGGCAGCCTGAGAGCTGGCTGGAGGTCAGTCAGGCCCAAAGGTCCCTGTCCCTCCCGCCCCGAGCTCTGTGCTGCCTGCTGGGTGAGGCAGCAAGGAAGAGGCGCCCTTGTTGCCCTGGGTCCTGGTGCATGCGCCAAGGAAAGGGGCAGAGACAGAGAGGGGCCCTTTATGGTCCGACCCCACGGGAGGAGAAGATGGTCTCCTGGACACCCAGGCAGGTCACGCACGACGTCTGCTTCCTTGGCTCTGCGGCCTCCCACCCGCCCACCAGACACTTCCCGATCACCCCGCCTCCTGCCCCCCACACCCGCTTCTCTCTCTGCCCTGGGAGAGTTGGGGCAGCCCCAGCCTTTGTGGGACCGGTGGGGGCCGCCTGGTGGTGATGGCACAGCTAAGGGTCGCCAGGGCCGGCCGCTGCAGGAAAGGGACGCCGGCTGAGTACCACCGACCGCACGGCTGAAAACAGCCAAATCCTCTCCTGCAGCCTGGAGACCGGGCCCAAAATCCAGGCATGGGCAGAGCTGCATTCTCTCCTCCTCCAGAAGCTCCAGGGGAGGGTTCTTCCGACATCTTCCAGCTTCTGGCTGCTCTGGGCCCCTGGGTGCTCTGTCCCCAGGTGGGGCTGCTCCTGCCTGCTGCACCCAGCCCAGCACCCACAGCTCTGACCTGCCCGTGGCCAGCGCTCCAGGGACTGCCCTGGAACCCAGCCTAGGGCACACTCTGCCAGCGTCTGTCTCCCCACAGGCCTGGAGACCAGCAAAGCAAAAAGCCTGTGGAAGACGCACGGGCCTGAAGCTGCCTCCCCTCTGCCGCCCGCGCCCCACTGTCCCGCCTCCCCCACCCTGCCAGGCTTCTCTGGACCGGGGTCTCGTTTTGCCACAGACAGGGAAGCTGCAACAGTGCAGGGAAGCCGGGACAGGGCTGTGGCCACAGGGACGCAGAGCGGGGGGTCCCCGAGTGGGAAGTCTCAGCCCCGGCCATTTGGTTGGCGCCACCCTTGCCCTCGTGGCTGCACGCCGCAAGCCCTCCCGCCCCGGGCTGTCACTGGGTTCCCTGCTGCAGCCACACATTTCCACACAGTCTTCCCCTTGAGAACAAGCAGGACTTGGCAATATGGGGTCACCACCCTGTGGCCACCTGGGCCTCCACTGTCATGGGGCACGTCCCCCAGGACCCTCTGAGCCCACCGCTGCCCGTGCCCGCCTCACAATCATAGACAGTCGCTGGACGTGGGCCCCTCCCCCAGCCGCAGGGAGGACGTGCTCACAGGGGGCCGGAAAGGGGCCCCGTCTCTCCTCGAGAAGCGTGGAGGCCTCCGGGCTTCCCTGCACTGTGCCTGGGCAGCTGTGCGGTGGGAAGCAGACGCCAGACACCCCACCCGCACAGCCGCACCCCCCTTCCTGTCGCTTTGCCCCCACTGCCCTCCCCACACTCCCCGCTGGCCCGGCCCCTCCATCCGCAGTGGACACAGTCGCCTATGGGCATTGGGTCCTCACTCTCAGCTGAGAGGCACGGAGGCGGCCCGGGACCCTGCAGAGGCCCGCCCATAGCACCGCATGGGCCCCACCAGGCCCAGAGGCCCCACACCCCCTCTTCTGGCTTCATCGCCGGCTGGGCTGCAAGAGCTCCCACGGCCCCTCCTGGTGTCCTGGCTCCCCCAGACCTGCCTCCCATTCCCCTCACACACTGAGGTTCAGGCTCTGGGCGCCCCATGCTCCTTCCTGGGGGCTCCACGCACCCCGTCATACCCCAGATCCCCCATGCCCGCCTCCCTTGGGAACAACCTGATGCTCTGTTCTCTCCCCCAGAGCCCAGGGCCACCTGGGATTGACAGATGAGCGCAGAGGGAGCTCTCGGGCTCCTCCCCACCCCAGTTCCTGGCGCCCAGGGCAGCTCCTGGGCCTAGCAGCCCTGCCCCGCTGCTGTCTCCCTCACTGATGTCAGCCCCACACTGACACTTCACCCTCCTCTCAGCAACCTGCTTCCCACCAGCATCCTCTGAGCCTGCCCCGGCCGCCTCCCCCCCATGCCCACAGACCCTGGCGTGCAGGCCCCCCCCCGCCCCCTCCTTCGGGCCTGGGTCTCTGCATCATCCCCCAGCACACTCCTCCCTCCTTCCCTCTCTCCCTTCCCTCTCTCATTTATCTATTTACAGTGCTTCTCCTGCCTCGGCCTCTCGAGTAGCTGGGGTCACAGGCATCCTCCACCACGCCTGGCTCATTTTTGTATTTTTAGTAGAGACGGGGTTTCACTATGTTGGTCAGGCTGGTCCTAACCTCAGGTGATCCACCTGCCTCGGCCTCCCAAAGTGCTGGGATGACAGGTGTGAGCCTCTCCGCCCAGCCCCTTCCTTTATTTAAATCAGCCCAAAGCCACCTCTCAAAGCCAGATTCTGGCTTCCATCTGGCCTGGTTCGTGGAACGTCAACCCTCACCCCCAAGACCTCCGCGGTCTCCTCAGCAGACACCCGCCGGAGGCAGCAGCCCTGCCACTTCTTTCCGGCTCCCTGGGTGACCCCAAAAGCCAGAGCACTCCTTCCTCCAGTGTCTGGCTGGGGGTTTCTGCCTGCCCAGGCCCCTGGGCCCCCATGACCGGCTGTGCACTCAGGTGTGGATGAATCTGGGGGCACCCCCATCTCTCTTGGCCTCAACTTCCTGAACTAGAGCTGGGACCGTGGTGGGTTTCACGGTGTCCCCTAAGGCTCACGTCTGAAAAGCCTCAGGACGGGCCTTTCTTTAGAAACAGGGTCATGAAGCCATAACTGGTTCAAGGCTGGGCTCACTGTCTTAGTCCAAGCGCCCTTCTGAGGACAGGTTCACAGAGGGAACCGGGGACACAGGCGGAGCTCTGCGGCCCCCAGCCAGTGAGCACCGGCAGCGGCAGGTACCGGCGGGGCCAGGAGGACCCTGCCTGGGGCTCTCCAAAGGAGTCTCTAGACTTTGGCGCTCTGGCCTCCAGAGCTGTGAGGGGCACATTCTGTTGTCCTAAGCCCCCTAATCTGTGGTGCTTCGTACGGCAGCTCCAGACAGAGACACAGGTGCCCGCATCGCGGCCACCGCCCCATGGGACCTCGCTGGAGACTCTGCAAGGCCGACCCTCCCACAGGCTCCAGGCCCCTGCCCACCTGTGCCCCTGTCTGTGAAGCGTGAGGTTGGAAGACGACGTCATTTCCAAAACTTGGCCTTGGTGGGCACGACTTTGGCCCCCATCCCTCACCCTGCAAGGTCCTGGGGCCTAGGCCATCGTGATCCCCCCTGAGGGACCTCCTGGGTGCTCCAAGGACGTCCTGGCTTTCCAGTGCCCACCCCAGAAGCCTGGGCCCCTGGACTCGGTGACACGGAGAGGGGAGTGAGGGGCTGGAGCCCCACCAGGGACAGAGACAGAGCCAGGAGCTGTGGGGTCGGCCACGGGGGTTCAGACAGCAGGGAAGGACGCTGCCTGCTGGGAGCCACAGCACTCGGCACCAAGCTGGCCAGGTTCCCCTTGAGGGCATGGCAGAGCCGGGCAGGAGTGGGACCAGGATGTGGGGTGGTGATGGGGAGGGATGGGGCACAATTGGTTCTGGCTCCTGGGCCTGAGGGTGTGATCCTGGGCCGGGTCTCAGGTACCTGAGCCTGGCAGGGCTGCTGTGGCTCCAGCCACGTCCGTCCTGCGGGGCGTCCACAGCCTCCACCCTGTGCTGGATGCCCCGGAGAGCTATTTCAGGCGCCTGGTGGAGACACGACCCATCTGGCCAGACCAAGGCCCAGCCACCACCCATGGCTCCCCCTGTGTGCCCCGGTGACTCACATCCATCAGAGCAGAGAGTCCCCCACGGCGACCCCTTTTTTGGTGTTCACCAAACACTGCCCATGTCTGGTGTTCGGGGTGGGGAGACCAGAGCTCCCACCTGGGAAATGCCTCCCCCAGCCTCCCTTGGCTGAGCCCCCAGCCCAAAATACATACTTTTGCAGATCTGCTCTCAAGAGGCACGAGGACCCCTGAGGTGTCCTGAGGCCTGGGGGGAATGACTAGGCGAGTCTGCCACAGGGCCTGTCCTTCAGGCCCCCAGGACCAAGGGCTGTCACCACCTGGAAGAGGGATTGGACTTGCAGGCCACCCTAACTGAGGGCTTCCCCCGCTCCTTGCCCCCCATATCCTGCTCTGGGAGGTCTCCATGTTGTCCCGTCCCACGGTCACAGAGCCTCGGGGAACCCGACGCCCCATCTGGAATGTGGAGCAAGCTTGGGGTTGGTTCCCGTGGAGAGGGCGGACGAGGTGGCCAGCTCCCCTGCAAGGCTCCAGGTCTCCATCTGGGAGGTGGCTGCAGAGAGCACGGGGGCCGTCCACCGGCTGACAGGACTGGTCCCAAGACCCATCCAAGGCCCAGCGTCCCTTCGGTCCTGAGAGGCCACCTCAGCTGCCCGGAGATGGAGCCCTCCCTGGAGCTGGGGGCTGGGGGATGAGTGGTGAACACAGGGGAGGGTTCAGCCCTCATCACTCTAATTCCACCCCATGTGTCCAGTCTCTGGAGCTCCACCCAAAGCTCTCTAAAGCCCCATCTGCCCCAGGATGCCCGTGGACCAACACCCTCACCCCAGTCCTGACAGGGATGGAGGCGGGGGGCCAGCTTGCGGTGGACGGCGGAGCACGGCGCAGACCCCCAGCACCCCCGGCCCCCTCCCACACCGTTTCCGAAAAGCAAAACCAGCACACGGTCAAGAAAAATGGAAACTCCCTTTTACCCCCTGATTTGCTGGCAGCTGGAAAGTAACTTTTACAAATGTCTTTTTGTCAAGGACTTGGTTTGGGTGAGCTTTTATTTATTTTATTTTTTTTAATTTTATTTATTTTTGAGACAGAGTCTCGCTCTGTCTCCAGGCTGGAGGGCAATGGCGCGATCTCGGCTCACCGCAACCTCCGCCTCCCGGGTTCAAGCGATTCTCCTGCCTCAGCCTCCCAAGCAGCTGGGACTACAGGCGCGCACCACCACACCGGGCTGATTTTTTGTATTTTTAGTAGAGACGGGGCTTCGCCCTGCTAGCCAGGCTGGTCCCTTTGTCCACAGAAAATTCTGCCAGCAGGAGCCTCTGCCCACAGAGTCCTGGAGGGAGGTGTTTCTGCATGAACCCCACAGCAGGGCCTTGCTCTGAAGCGAAAATGAAGGCAGGAAACCCTGAGGATGGATTTGTGTCACCCGTCACCTGGAGGCATAAGTGCAGTGCTGCCTGGACGCACTCCCGTGTGTTTTTAAAACGCTCCGCTCGGCCACCAGGGAGGCTGGAAGGAAACCTGCCAAGCAGGAGCGGCGGGGTGGCAGGGTGGCTCCCCGCTCTCGGGACAGAGACTGCAGAGTCCTCCTGCGCCCACAATGCTCATCCCTTCACTCACTTCTTCACACCCACCTCCCTCGCCGGCCGTGCGGGCATGGCTGGACGGGACCACAGACGCTGCTGCCCAGACCGGTCGCCTTCACACCTGCCCCGACACGGCGAGGGGCTCTGTCGCCCTGGACCCTCGGGGGCACCCTCGTAGGAAGAAGGAATCAGAGACGCTTTGCCACACTCCAAGCTGCCCACCCAGCACAGGACGCCTGCACGGGGAAGGAGCTCTCCGTCTTAAGAGGTAAACAAGAAGAACTGACGAGTCCCTGGGTTCAGGATGCTGTGGAGAGAGCTGCCTGGGCCAGGTGAACCGGGGCCTCTCCAGGAACACCCCCGTCTCTTCCCCCTGTGTCCCCTCCTCCATGTCTACCCCCCATCCCTTCTTCCCCCATCTCTCTCTCTTTTTCTTTCTTGAGATAGGGTCTCACCCTGTCACCCACGCTGTAGTGCGGTGGTGTGATCTCGGCTCACTGCAGCCTCCACCTCCTGGGCTCCAGAGATCCTCCTACCTCAGCCTCCTGAGTAGCTGGGACCACAGAGACACACCACCACACCCAGCTAATTTTTGTATTTTTTGTAGAGATGGGGTCTTGTCACGTTGCCCAGGCTGGGTCTTGAACTCTCGAGATCAAGTAACTGGGACTACAGGCCTGAGCCACGGCTCCCCGCCCCCATCTCTTCTCGCTCCCCCATCTCCTCCCCATCCTTGGCCTCTGCCCGTCTCTGTGATCCCCAGCTCCAGGGGCCTCTCTGGGCAGCCCTGTGGGGCGCCCCACACCCTCCCTCCACCATGGGCGGGCTGGTGCCGCCTTCCCCGAATCAATATCGACCCAGGCCCAGGAGCGGGGTGGGGCCGGGCCGGCTTGCTGGTGGCTCCTGTGCCCACCGTGCCGAGACGTGGGTGAAGCTGGGAAACCAGTCGGGCCTCCTTGTGGGGCATGTTCACCCCGGGAAAAATAACAGGTTTGGGTTTTGTTTTCTTTTTCCTAACCACAGAGCACCCGTTGATGGTTCTGAAGGGGCAGGAACCCTCAGGACCGAGCGCTGTCAGGAAATGGAGCTCCCGAGGGCCTCGCCGCATGAGCAGAGCCGGCGCGAGCCAGGGCGGAATGTTCCAGCGGCACCTCCGTCAGTACCACCCACTGCCCCTGTGCTTCATGCCCAGGGGGTCCACACAGGCCAGCAGGGGGTCTCAGGCCAGGACAGTGGGCAACCTCAGGGGAAGAGCCTGCTAGACTCCTGAGGGGCCCCTGGGCTGGTCCCTCTGTGACTGCTAAAGCCCCTGCCTCCTCGTCCAAGGACAGCAGCCTGTGGGGTCACAGTCCCCTACGAACACTGCGGGACCAAGCTTAGCCCAGGGCAGATTCCGCCTCTGAGGGGCTCTGGCTCATGAGGCCTGGCACCCCTGCAGAGGACAGAGAGAGAGGCCACATGCAGAGGACTCTCCAGGGCGTCCCCCTGTGCCACGTCCAGGCGCTGCCATCGGAGGGACACAGGGCATGGGGGACTCTGGGCTTTTCCCAGGAAAGCAACCAGCAGCCACCCAGCCCTTCCCAGGGCCACAGTGGGTCACGTGCAGGCCACTTTCCACAAAGCCTGGATGCTCTGCCTGGTGTGGGGCTGTGGGCTGCATGCTACGTGCGGGCGTGGGTGTGGACGACGGCCACGTGGGGCCTGTGGCGGCAGGTGGGGCCCGGCCCTGTGAATGCGGGGTCTCTGGGTCCTGCACACTTGCCCATTTACAGCTCAGTCCCCGGACAGGGCCACTCCACGGGGATCCCAGGATGTCCCCAGCACACAGCCCGTGCTGGAGGCTGGGGACCTCTCCTGGGGCCACTATAGCTTCCTGTGCCCCCAGATCCCCCCATTGCACCATGCTGGCTGCAGGGAAGGCCCGAGGTCCCTCCACCCAAACCTTGGCCCAGCCCTGGCTCCGGGATCTCACCCAACGGGCCCACCCTGCCACAGGACTTTCGTTTTTCCAAACTTAGAGCTGCCCCTGGCCAGGGAGGGCTGAGCCTGCGTTCACTGCTTGGCAGAGGAAACGTCTGCACTTCAGGCCTGCCCCGTGCCCTGGATGAACACTGCCCCAGGACACGGCCCTGGCAGCGGAGGCCACTGGGGCCTTGAGGCTTCTGGGGAAAGGTCAGGCTTGCCTTTAAGCGACGCGGTGCCAGCGGCCCAGCCAAGTCAGCCCGAGTGTGCGTCATCTCAGCTGCTGTGAATCTTTCCATTCTGTATTGAGGTGCGAGCCACCAAGCATAGAATCAGCTGCTCCCAGCACGTGGTGCCGTGATTTCTGGTGGAGCGCACGATCTCCAGGCCATGCCCACCCCCCACCCCCGTCCATCTCGTTCCAGGGCAATTTCATCCCGAAGGGAACCCCTCGCCCCTCGGCCGTCCCTGCACCTACCTTCCGCGCCTGCGGACCTCCCTTTCCCAGGTATTTCTGCAGATGGAATGGCAGGTGGCCTCTCATGCCTGGCTGCTTCTGCTCAGCCTGTGTCGGGTCCGCCCCTGCACTGGTGGTGCTGGGGCCTACCCCTTTCCTGGCTCACGTTCCGCTGTGTGGATGAGCCACGTCCGTGTGTCCCTTCATCTAGGGACTGACATCAGGGCTGCTTCCAGTGGGGGCTGCTGTCACTACCCACGCTCTGGACAGCATGTGTCCAGGTTCTTTTGGGTCTTCATGTGGGAGTGGGGTTGCACAGATGTGGTGTTGCACAGGTGTGGGATTGTACAGGTGTGGGGTTGTACAGGTGTACAGGTGTGGGGTTGTACAGTTGCAGGGTTGTACAGGTGTGGGTTGTACAGGTGCACAGGTGTGGGGCTGTACAGATATGGGGTTGTACAGGTGTGGGGCTGTACAGATATGGGGTTGTACAGGTGTGGGGTTGTACAGGTGTGGGGTTGCACAGGTGTGGGGTTGTACAGGGGTACAGGTGTGAGGTTGCACAGGTTTGGGGTTGTACAGATATGGGGTTGTACAGATATGGGGTTGTACAGGTGTGGGGTTGTACAGGTGTACGATTGCACAGGTGTGGGGTTGTACAGGTGTACAGGTGTGGGGCTGTACAGATATGGGGTTATACAGGTGTGGGTTGTACAGGTGCACAGGTGTGAGGTACAGGTGCACAGGTGTGAGGTTGTACAGGTGTGGGGTTGTACAGGTGTGGGATTGCACAGGTGTACAGGTGTGAGGTTGCACAGGTGTGGGGTTGTACAGGTGTGGGGTTGTACAGGTGTGGGATTGCACAGGTGTGGGGTTGTACAGGTGTGGGGTTGCACAGGTGTACAGGTGTGAGGTTGCACAGGTGTGGGGTTGTACAGGTGTACAGGTGTGAGGTTGCACAGGTGTGGGGTTGTACAGGTGTGGGATTGCACAGGTGTGGGGTTGTACAGGTGTGGGGTTGCACAGGTGTACAGGTGTGAGGTTGCACAGGTGTGGGGTTGTACAGGTGTACAGGTGTGAGGTTGCACAGGTGTGGGGTTGTACAGGTGTACAGGTGTGAGGTTGCACAGGTGTGGGGTTGCACAGGTGTGGGGTTGCACAGGTGTGGGGTTGTACAGGTGCACAGGTGTGAGGTTGCACAGGTGTTGGGGTGTACAGGGGTACAGGTGTGAGGTTGTACAGGTGTACAGGTGTGGGGTTGTACAGGTGTGGGGTTGTACAGGTGCACAGATGTGAGGTTGCACAGGTGTGGGGTGGTACAGGTGTGGGGTTGTACAGGTGTGGGGTTGTACAGGGGTACAGGTGTGAGGTTGCACAGGTGTACAGGTGTGGGGTTGTACAGGTGTGGGGTTGTACAGGGGTACAGGTATGAGGTTGCACAGGTGTACAGTGTGGGGTTGTACAGGTGTGGGGTTGTACAGGTGTGGGGTTGTACAGGGGTACAGGTGTGAGGTTGCACAGGTGTACAGGTGTGGGGTTGTACAGGTGTGGGGTTGTACAGGGGTACAGGTGTGGGGTTGTACAGGTGTGAGGTTGCACAAGCATGGGGTTGTTCAGGTGTGGGGTTGCACCAGGTGCACAGGTGTAGGGGTGCAGGCTCCCACAGTCTTGCTTGATTTACCTGTGTGAGTCCTCAGGTCACCACCAGGAATCCAGCCTCTCTTCCCTCCAAGGATTCAGTGGAGCCTCAGGGAGCCCGGAAGGGGGGCAGGGCACGTGCTGGGGGCTGGGCCTCCCTCCCATCACATCTCCAGCTCCAGGTGACTGTGAACTATGCCCAGATGACAGGGCCCCCAGGGCAAGGGACTCTCCACCACATGGCTCACTGGCGAGGACTCCCGGAGGCGCCAGCATCTGCCAGGACAGGAGGGCAGCAGCCCAGGCAGCACTCCGCGACCCCACCCCGGGGTGCTCTGGAAAGGCCCACGGTGCCTGGGAGGAAAAAATGTTCTTGAAGAACTAAACGAGTGATTCAGAAGCTCAGGTGTCAGAGCTGGGCCCCCCCATGGGTCAGGGGCAGCCGTCGGCCCTTCCGTGGACACCCAGAGTCTGCTGGAGGAGACAGTGGTGCAGGGCAGGCACTGAGAACCTGAGCTTCACACCCCGAAAGACGTCTCCACAGCTGACCCTGGGAACCAGTGACTGGCCTGGTTGGGAAGTGGGGTCTTTGCACATTGATCAAAAGATCTTGAAGTGAGATGATCCTGGGTTATCTGGGTGGGGCCTAAATCCAGCGACGGGTGTCCTCACAGGAGCAGAGGAAGAGACAGACATGCAGAAGAGATGGCCGTGAGAAGCCGGGGCGGAGGGTGGAGAGATGAGGCCACAGGCCAGGGTACGCCTGGAGCCACCAGGGGCTGGAAGAAGCGGGAAGGGTCCCCCAGGGTACGCCTGGAGCCACCAGGGGCTGGAAGAGGCGGGAAGGGTACCCCAGGGTACGCCTGGAGACACCAGGGGCTGGAAGAGGCTGGAAGGGTCCCCCGGAGCCTCTGCCGGGAGCGCAGCCCTACCCAAGCCTAGATCTCAGACCTGTGGCCTCCAGAGCCGTGGGAGGACAGGTTTGCTTTCTAAACCACCTGGCTCGTGGCACTTTACTTGGGCAGCCGCATGGCACTGCCACAGCCCTGCAGCCAGGCTCTCCGCTCCAGGCCTCTGAAGCCACCAACCCCATAGTTAACGCCGAGCTGAGGAGGCCTCTCCAAGCCACCTGGGCCCCAGGCCTGGGGGCCCTCAGCACTCCAGCCAGGTCCTCATAGCTGCTATGCCCCGGGGGCACTGAGGCAGGGCCCCACCCCACTGAATTGGAGGGGCAGCACCCCCAGACCTGCAAAGCCAGGGAGGGGGTCTGGCCTGGGGAGCTGAACAGGGACACATACCGCCCACACGTCCACCTGGGACTCTCCTGGCTTCGGCCCTGAACGTCCCTCAGCCTTGGGGACCCCCGGGCCTGACCCTGACAGGCTGATCCTTGAGTGGACACTCCCAGATACAAGGACACTGCCAGATACAAGGCTTCACCTGTATCTGGCCCCTCACACCCAGCATTTTTTCCCGGAGGCGACCCCGGGCAGCTGCGGATTCGGATTTCACAGACTTTAAACAGCCACAGGGGCCAGGGGCCCGGGGGCTTTTCCAGGCACCCCCTGAATGGAGGCATCAGCAGCCCCCCTCCCCATTCACGGAGACCACATGATCGTCCTTCCTGCCGGGCCAGGAGCAGCCCCCGCCATCCGGCAAGCTGGGACGTGTGTCCAGGTGAGAGCCCACACCTGTAAAACCCACCTGCTGTGCCCAGCTCTGGTCTTCGGGAGAGGAGCAGCCAGATGGGCTGAGTGAGGAGCTCAGGACCCACAGCCCTGCACAGAGCCGGGCACGCATCCCAGCAGCCCTGCCCCCCGGGCTCTGCTTCCCTTCCACCCCCCAACCCACCTTCCGCTGACTCCTGCTGGCGTTCCGGGAAAATCGAATCCCCTGGGGAGAAACAGCGTCCACCCAGACGAGCTTTCGCAGTCCAGGCTAAAACACTAGACGTTCCAGCAGAGAAAATACGGTTCTGATTTTCCAAAACAGGCTGAGATCCCCTGAATTTAACCCACATGGCCTGAGACGCGAGGTTCCCACCCAGACCCAGGTCACCACCCAGCCGAGGCCACAGAGCGTGCGCTGTGCACATGGCCTCACCGGGGCCTGAGGGCTCCTGGCTGGAGGTCAGGGAGTGGGGTCCCCGTCCCTGTCCCATGGCTGAGAGCACTTCTTCCTCCGGCTGCGGCTGGAGAACCAGCTGTTTGAGCCACTTGTCAAGGTCACTAAGAAACTTGGGCGGGAGAAGGAATTCACCCCAAACTTGGGAACCTCCCTGGGGTCGGAGAGACTGTTCTCAGTGACCTCCAGCCCGGACGGGACACAGCCCTCACAGGGGGCGGCCAGCACAGCCTCGGCTTTCCAGCGGCCTGCCCACCTCAGTCTTGGCTGAGGTTAAATGAAGTTCCAGCCTCGTGCATCTTGATTTCAGGCCCCAAGCAGCTGTCCCGAAGCGTAGGCACCCCCCACGGGGCCAAGGCCCCTCCACCCTCCCAGGCCAGCCTCTCAGAAGCCCCAGGGAGCCCACAGTGCCCAGACCTGTCTGCTGGCTGGGCTGCCTGGAAGAGCCCCTCTGCTCTTGGGAATCCCTGGAGGTCCACGGAGGCCTACCCCACATCAGCCTCAGATCGATGGCTCTAGCAGCTCCAGGGGACCCCATCCTGAGCTCAGCCCAGGGCCCAGGACATGACCAGCATGTCTCCCCCCTGGACTGTGGCCCAAAGCCCAGCTTTCATTCACCCCTCTGTTGCTTGCAGCTGCTCAGCTGGTCAAGGTGGTTGGTGAGCAGCTTCACATACCTGGTGTGAGGCACCAGGGTCTTCATGACCTCATGGGAGAACAGCCTTGGCCTGGGGAAACTGAGACCCACACAGCCCCACCCCTCACAGTGATTACCGACAGCAACCGCAGCCTCGAAGGAGATCCTCAGAGAATTTGGTCTGGGCCAGTTCAGGAGGGCTTCCAGGAGGAGGCAGCATGTGAGCCCAGAGTGAGAGGTAGGGACAGGAGAAGCAGGTTCAGGGTCAAGGACACTGCAGCGCCCAGGATAGTGGACACCACGCTCCCTCCTACCAGGAAGAGAAATGTCCGCTTCAGGCAGTAACTCCTAGAAAGATCTGGGCGGACCCCAGCCCCTCCCTCCACGCACTAGAGGCAAACGCTTGATCCCACTCGAGTCCCATCCGGCCCCTCAGGAGCTGGCGAATGCCTGCATCGGCTTGCTCCAGGGAACCAGCTGGCTTCCTCCTACCCCCCCCCGCCTTTCTTTCTGAAATCTGGATGCCGTTTGCTGCGCGGCAGCCCCCTAAGTTCCGGCCAGGTGGTTCACCTGAGCTCCTGTGCCCTTTCTCCCTGCCTGCCTGGGCCTCGGCCTTCCTGCCGTTCTCCTTAGAGAGAAGAACCTCTGTGGGCCTTGGAGAAGCTCCACGCCCAGTGTCCCCAGCCATCTGCACAAATGGGCTGGGCAGGGGCCCCCATGCTGCCTCTTGCTGGGTTCCTTCGGCCGGCACCTACCCCGTACCCAGGAGGCAGCCCCAAATCTAGGTCATGGCTTCCGACTGCTCCCGCCCTGTGGCGTCTGGTCTGCCCCTGACCCCTGCCTACTCCAGAGCTCCCTGCGCTTCCTGTGGGCACCAAGGGCACCTGTGCCTTCCCCTTGCCCCCCCCATGGCTCCTGCAAGGCTGGCATCACTGCAGGTGAGGACTTGCCAGAGTCAACTTTCAACCCTGATCTCATGGAGTCTAAGCCCTGTCCGGGGGGTGCTTGACACCCTGGCACCCGGCAGCTTTCATGCCACCCAAGGGCCTGCCCAGCTGGCGCTGGGTGCCACCTGCCTGGTTCCAGCCATAGACTCCTCTCCTGCTGCCTGTCCCGCTGCCCTCTGACACCCCACGCAGGGGGCCCAGGGCACCCATTTCCCAGACCCAGTAACGGTGTCTCGGCCAGAGCTAGCCAGCAGGGACCACCAGGAGCTGCCCCACCCCGGCTCCCTCCACCCGTCCAGCATGAAGCAGAGCTCCCTCCCCCACAGCGTTTTCGCTGCTCAGGCTGGGGGATCAGGGTGCGTTTTGCAGACTTGAGCGTCACAGATTTAACATAAAGGAGGATTTGGGTGGGAACTCTCTGGGGGCTTCCTGCAAACCGGCCCCCGCGCAGGCTGTTTGGTAACCAAGGGCAGCACCGCAGCCAGGCAGGAGCAGTCAGGCGCCCACACGCCGGATCTGCCGCGCCCGCTGCCACCCACGGCCCTCCGGCGAGCTTGCAAATGGGAGGAACAGGTGACAGGGAGCCCTCCCCGGGGGAGCCGCGCCCCGAACCTCACAGGCGGGCGTTCAGAGAGGGCGGCGGGGGTGGGGGTGAGGCCTCCAGACCCCACGGAAGATTGAAATGTCATCTGTCTCCTTTTCAAAGGAAGCCCAGCTGGCTCCATCCCTGCCTTGCAAGAAGGACTTTTCTGCCAGATGGGAACGGACGCCCGTCTTGGCCAAGCCAGCTTCTGTCTCCCTCCCGGTGACAGCACCAGCAGCTCCCCCTACATGGCGTACATTCCTGAAGCAGTGAGGCCTGGGGACCGCCTGTGACCTGCCTCCTCCCGGGGCGGGGAGCCGGGCTGGTATTTAATGAAAGGAAATACTCCAGCCGGCTGCTTCCTGCTCAGGTTGCCCAGCGTCCCTGCAGCTCCCGCCACCGGCAGCCTCCCGCTCTGGACACCTTGGAGGAGGTGGGCAGGCTCAGCGCCCAGGGCCCCTGCGGGCACTGGCGGCCCTTGGAGGCGCCTGGTCACTGGATGTGCTTGCAGGGCCTGGCCCCAGAGCCCACCCCTGCCCGCGTGTCCTTCCTTGGAGGTCCAAGGAGAAGCAGGGACGCTCTCAGACACAGAGGCTCCTCTTCCCTAAGATGTCCGAGAATGCTTCCCCTGAAGGGGCCAGTGTGGGATCCAGGGCTGACAGGGCACAGGAGATGCTGCCCATTCATGTCCAGTCGGGAGACACAGCCCCGGGGTTCTGTGCCTGAGAGCCTCCTCCTCTTCAGCCACACAGCATGCTCCTTTCTCCTCCCAGAGAGGGAGGAAGCCCTGTGCAGCGGGCAGGGGTGTGGGTGTGGCCCCAGGGGTACCGAGGCCGTGGCAGGGCAGCAGACCCTGGCCCTGGCCCCCACCACTCCTCTTCGGGTCTTGGGCCTGGCTTGGAGGGGACCGTGGGCAAATCAGCAGAAAGTGGAGTCAGGGTCCCTCTTCTATTAAGTGGGGTGAAAACTCACACCAGCCCTGTGAGCCTTCCGTGCCTTTGTTGAGATCAAGCTGGGGGAGGGGCAAGCACCCAGACGACCCCCCACAACAGCACTGCCACCGTCACGGTCCCCACTCCCTTCCTTCACATCTGCCCCTCAGCCAGGACTCTGGGGTGCTCAGGGCCCCGTTTCAGAACAGATGAGCCTGACAGAGGCTGAGTCTCCTCTTTCTGATAGAACCATCTTCCCCCAGCGAGACGTTCCCTGCTGCTTAGAGAGATGAGAAACTCACCGCGCAGGGGGATCAGCACCTGAGAGCTGGCTCACCTCCTCCCTTCCCCTTCCCTCCTGCAGGTGGGAAATTAACCACGTCCATCCTCGTGGCCGCTCGATGTTTTCTTCCCATCTGCAAAGTAGAGAAGAACATTCCAGAACGTGAAGACTTCAGGACGTGGGCCCTGGGTCTGGAGAGAAGATGGCCTGACTTTCAGCTGAGAGTTGTGGGATACACCCATGACTCAGCGGGAGGAGCCCCAGTGGGTCTGCATCACCGGGAGGCAGCATGTGAGCTGACCTGGCTCTTCAGTCCAGCTGTGTCTCCCATCTGGCCATGCCTGGGCAGCATCTCCTGTGCCCTGTCAGCCCCCCCGGTCCCACACCGGCCCCGTCGGGGTCTGCACAGCTCTGAATTGATTTTGGAAGAAACTGTCCTGAACTGTTTTTTCTCACTGCTCTCTTTGGAAGAAAACATCACCTTGCAACTTTATGTAAATGAGTCACCTGGCGTGCTCCTCTACAGGAGGGGCTCAGCACCCTGCCTGGTTCCTCCTCACTGCTGAGCTGGATCTCAGAGTGGAGGAGACCACAGTTTATCTACCCACTCGAAGGGTGTGTGAAAAGGTCCCTGTTTGATATCTACAAAGGACCTTCTCTCCTGGTGAACACCGGTGTGCATTTCACCCGGGTGGACACCCTGCTTAGCAATGAACCCACAGTGGGTACCTGTACAGAACCCACAATGGCAGTCAGGTGACAGATCAGAGCTGCCTCGGTCTCCTGAGGTCTCTTCTGTGCTTCCCTCCCTGCCGGCTACCCCTTTGCCCTTCCTGCCAGTGGGTCTCCTATAGAAGTTGCTCTCACCACTGGAGCCATTTAAAGAGAGCAATGATGACCCTGAGCTTCCTGCTTCTGCCCAGCCTATTTGTTGCCACTGAGCCTTCACTTGGCTCAATGCTCTCAAATATCTCAGAAGCTTAACTCTATTCCGCCTGGAGAAAACGTGCCCTGCTGCCCCTTCATTCATTCACTGATATGTTCGTTCAGCAAATACTCATTGAGTAGCTGGTCTGTGTCCAGGATAATTTAGGTTGTGGGTGAAGGTCATGGACAGTTACGGCCCCAAGCTTGTTGAGCTCATAAGGCCACCCGGGGACATGTGGCTCAGGTTGTGATGGGGCTGCTTTCCACCCCAACTCCACCTTCCACACCACAAAGCATGTGCTTCTCCACATGTGGGCATGGGCAGTGTGGAACCTTCCATACCTGCTCACCAGGTGATCACCCATCCTGGTTCTCCCAGGACCGAGGGGCTTTCCAGGATGCAGGGCTTTCAGTCCGGCACTGAAAGGGTGAGTTTGGTCTACTGCTCACTGAGTCCTGGGACCCACAGTCCTGAGAGGGCTGCCTGTGGAACCAGCGGTTTTGCCTGCCTCAGGCATGTCCCAGACCTGGCCATGTGTCTCCTAAGCACTACCACTCACTCAGGTTCAGTGAGAAAAGAGCAAGCTGAAGCCGTCCAGGTAGGATCCCTTAGGCTGAGTGAAGAAATGAAGGATGATGATATCTAACTGGGTGAGGAATGAGCTACTCAGAGACAAGACTCAGAGGATACGTCTATCCTGGTGAACACAGACTCACCAGGACCCTGCTCAGAGTCAGGACTCAGAGGAAACGTCTATCCCGGTGAACGCAGACTCACCAGGACCCTGCTCAGAGTCAGGACTCAGAGGAAACGTCTATCCCGGTGAACGCAGACTCACCGGGATCCTGCTCAGAGTCAGGACTCAGAGGAAACGTCTATCCCGGTGAACGCAGACTCACCGGGATCCTGCTCAGAGTCAGGACTCAGAGGATACGTCTATCCTGGTGAACACAGACTCACCAGGACCCTGCTCAGAGTCAGGACTCAGAGGAAACGTCTATCCCGGTGAACGCAGACTCACCAGGACCCTGCTCAGAGTCAGGACTCAGAGGAAACGTCTATCCCGGTGAACGCAGACTCACCGGGATCCTGCTCAGAGTCAGGACTCAGAGGAAACGTCTATCCTGGTGAAAACAACTCACCGGGACCCTGCTCAGAGTCAGGAGTCAGAGGAAACGTCTATCCCGGTGAACGCAGACTCACCGGGACCCTGCTCAGAGTCAGGACTCAGAGGAAACGTCTATCCCGGTGAACGCAGACTCACCGGGACCCTGCTCAGAGTCAGGACTCAGAGGAAACATCTATCCCGGTGAACGCAGACTCACCGGGATCCTGCTCAGAGTCAGGACTCAGAGGAAACATCTATCCCGGTGAACGCAGACTCACCGGGATCCTGCTCAGAGTCAGGACTCAGAGGAAACATCTATCCCGGTGAACACAGACTCACCGGGACCCTGCTCAGAGTCAGGACTCAGAGGAAACGTCTATCCCGGTGAACACAGACTCACCGGGACCCTGCTCAGAGTCAGGACTCAGAGGAAACGTCTATCCCGGTGAACGCAGACTCACCGGGACCCTGCTCAGAGTCAGGACTCAGAGGAAACGTCTATCCTGGTGAACACAACTCACCGGGACCCTGCTCAGAGTCAGGACTCAGAGGAAACGTCTATCCTGGTGAACACAACTCACCGGGACCCTGCTCAGAGTCAGGACTCAGAGGAAACATCTATCCCGGTGAACGCAGACTCACCGGGACCCTGCTCAGAGTCAGGACTCAGAGGAAATGTCTATCCCGGTGAACGCAGACTCACCGGGACCCTGCTCAGAGTCAGGACTCAGAGGAAACGTCTATCCTGGTGAGCACAGACTCACCGGGATCCTGCTCAGAGTCAGGACTCAGAGGAAACATCTATCCCGGTGAACGCAGACTCACCGGGACCCTGCTCAGAGTCAGGACTCAGAGGAAACGTCTATCCCGGTGAACGCAGACTCACCGGGACCCTGCTCAGAGTCAGGACTCAGAGGAAACGTCTATCCCGGTGAACGCAGACCCACCAGGACCCTGCTCAGAGTCAGGACTCAGAGGAAACGTCTATCCTGGTGAACGCAGACTCACCGGGACCCTGCTCAGAGTCAGGACTCAGAGGAAACGTCTATCCTGGTGAACACAACTCACCGGGACCCTGCTCAGAGTCAGGACTCAGAGGAAATGTCTATCCCGGTGAACGCAGACTCACCGGGACCCTGCTCAGAGTCAGGACTCAGAGGAAACGTCTATCCTGGTGAACGCAGACTCACCGGGACCCTGCTCAGAGTCAGGACTCAGAGGAAATGTCTATCCCGGTGAACGCAGACTCACCGGGACCCTGCTCAGAGTCAGGACTCAGAGGAAACGTCTATCCCGGTGAACGCAGACTCACCGGGACCCTGCTCAGAGTCAGGACTCAGAGGAAACGTCTATCCCGGTGAACGCAGACCCACCAGGACCCTGCTCAGAGTCAGGACTCAGAGGAAATGTCTATCCCGGTGAACACAGACTCACCGGGACCCTGCTCAGAGTCAGGACTCAGAGGAAATGTCTATCCTGGTGAAAACAACTCACCGGGACCCTGCTCAGAGTCAGGACTCAGAGGAAACATCTATCCCGGTGAACACAGACTCACCGGGACCCTGCTCAGAGTCAGGAGTCAGAGGAAACGTCTATCCTGGTGAACACAGACCCACCAGGACCCTGCTCAGAGTCAGGACTCAGAGGAAACGTCTGTCCTGGTGAAAACAACTCACCGGGACCCTGCTCAGAGTCAGGACTCAGAGGAAACATCTATCCCGGTGAACACAGACTCACCAGGACCCTGCTCAGAGTCAGGACTCAGAGGAAACGTCTATCCTGGTGAGCACAGACTCACCGGGACCCTGCTCAGAGTCAGGACTCAGAGGAAACGTCTATCCCGGTGAACGCAGACTCACCGGGACCCTGCTCAGAGTCAGGACTCAGAGGAAACGTCTATCCTGGTGAGCACAGACTCACCGGGACCCTGCTCAGAGTCAGGACTCAGAGGAAGTATCTCAAGGGCCCCACTTCCTCAGGAAGGCTCCTCTGACCACAGGGCAGGTTGGGTCCCTGTGCTGGTTCTTATGGTCCCCGTACCTGTCCTGTCTTGCCCTTTCCTGGTGTATCGAGGGAGCACAGGGCTGTGTCTATCTCCTTCTCCTTTACAGCCCAGCACTACGACATAATA